AATCTCGATGCACTTGTCTACCAAGGTATCTTATATACAGTAAATCTCTGTATTAATGTAAGATCACCTTGTCATTTTACCTGACTAATCATTACATATTATATACGATTACAACTGGTCTCTTGATAATCATTTTATGATATTGTATAAACACGTTAGAGACAAATCATACCAACTGATGCACATGAATAACACAACCATTTTCTTTTCTTCTATTGATATCGACCAGTCACACCCTTTATCCACTCAGTTAGTGGTGGTGGTGGTTGAGAGAATATGGAGACTTTAGTGGTTGCAGATGATAAATGTGTTTAAAAATGGAACCATGTATTTGAAATTGACTAGTAGATGGTCACACCTACTACAATAGATCGGATAGTTACAAATTTACGACGTTAATCAATAGCTCATTAACCATAATGTGATCAGTTTGAGATATTAACAAACCTTAATATCTGCAAATTGACTACATTTATTTTACGAAACAAAATACATAACATTTACGTTCTAGAAACAGAAAAGAGAGGAAAAAATTCAATTCTTGCCTCTAAATTTTAGCTCGGATCGAGGTTTTACAATCGTTCTTGAAGCCATATGATGCTTGGACAAGATCTCTGCGATGAGTAGCCGACCAAACAAATGAGAGTTCTTGAGGATGAGGTTTCTTGTGGAAGAGTCAACAACGTATCCTTGACCAGGCATCCATTGAAGAAGTTGAAGAAGCAGTTCCTTTTTATCGGGCTGCGAAATGTATCGAGAGATCGCAATCTCAAAGTGAACCTGTAAACAAAAGAAGACAGCGAGAAAAACAAAAGTAGTATGATCAAAGAATGAAACATTTTCAACTGTAATGTAAATTGTTTTCTAACCAAAACGTGTAAAAGATAGCTTCAAATTGTTCCAAGCCAGTTATTTTAATTTACCTGATCGATTTTGTGGCCAGAACCATGCAAGACCTTCAGAACATCGTTTACGAAATTAATGTTACCCGAGATCATAAATGCATTGCCAAATCTTTTTAAAGTAGGCTGTGAGATCATCTTTGCATTGTCCTGAAACAGAATTTTGATCAAATTAGACCGCTCACGCAAAGGACCGAATGTTACAAATGTGCCTCAGGAAAGGGATTTCAAACCTTCACTACAACATATGCGTCTTTGAGGAGTTTCCCTTGGATTAGAGTGTGAAGAATTTTCTCATGCAGGTCTTTGCAGATAGTTCTTTTGCTGTATCGCAGCACATTATAGATTGTGAATGCTTCCGAGTGAGCTCTAATTTTACCGAGATGGTAGATTAAGGACGAACAAAGTTCCTGCATATTGTGAAAGATCATTAACGTTTTAAGAAATCGGGTTTGACTGAAATGATTTCTCATTGTATTGCATTACTCACCAAAAAACATCAAGACTTCTATATTAGAACACTAAGACGAAAAATCCGTTGATGATGCTACTTACCTCCTCAAGCCGGTGGCCTTTGCTGTGCATGTCAAGTATGGTTTGGTACGCAAGTAGGTGCAATTTCTCCTTGATAAAATATTTGATCAAGATATGGAAAGTATTATAGTCGGGACTAACAGCTTGCTCATCCATTTTCTTCATCATTCGCATAACACTTTCCATTTCCCCTGCTCTGCAATAGGCACAGAGCATTGTGTTTAACATAACCAAGTCACATTTTTCATAAGTAGTTTCAGAGTCCCTCGCCAGTTGTCTTGCCTCCTCGAAAAGCTTATTTCTACATAGAGCAGATATCATGATGCTGTTGGCATAGCCATCTGTAATCAAGACATAGATCATTCTCTAGAAACAGGGAAAGAAGCTTTACGGTATTTGAAATTTGATTGGCGTTGTGCTTAAAATCTATAGTTATTCGGATAGGGGAACCATTTCCTCCTTACTGGTTCCTCTATCAAGTTCTGACAAATCTGAGAAAATCTCTGACCCTTAGACACTCCAAAATTGTAGCAAATTGCTAAGTTTTGCTAGTCTTAACTCCAAAATCCATAAGGGCAGAACAACTTTTCTCGACCAAGAAATTTACAAATCCTGAATTGAGTCTATAGTTAGTGTTATCCCAAGCAGCGCGCAAGATATCATTGCAAAATATTCTCGACCCTATCTGGACAGCAGTGGAACTATATCCTAAATTTCAAAGCAGCACCCGTGGAAGAGGTTAATAATGATGAAAGCTAACTTGGTAACTAATCATCAGTAAAAAAAAAAAAAAACATACCAGATTGAACACCTTTCCCTTTCATATCATCAAAGATTGATCTCGCTTCTTCTAACTTTCCCGCCTTTGAAAGACCATCCATCAACATGCAATATGGCATCTGGAGGAAAAAAAATATTTTGACCATAAGATACTTGCAGGGTAAATAGGAGCACTGTATGAACTCTACTTAATATGGTTATACCAAGATAGCATACCAATAAGCTATGCTTTCTATCACGTAACCAAAAGTTGTCCATTGATCGTCACGACATGATAAATATTATTGTTGTTTACTCCATTCAACATTTTGCAAAACTAAACATTTGCAGCCAGGTTTATTATTGCTCTTTTCTAGAATATATACAACCAGCTTTGCTGAAAAATAATATTGTCCAACTACCTCGTTCTCGGCGTAGCCTGCAGATTCGAGTTCAGCAAGTAATTCTCTTGATCTTTCAAACAAACCTCCTTTAGTATAAACCTTTAGTAAAGTAGTCATCATCACCTGCAAATATTTGTAGCTAGAGTTACACAAGCGTGAAAGAATAAAAATTACTGAGAGAACCAATTTCTCATATAATACTGACAAAAACAAACCTTATTTGGCACTAACCCTACTGATTTCATCTCGGTCATCAGCTCATCAGCTTTCTTGTAATCTCCTTTCCAAGAATAAGAATTGAGCAAGGCGCTGTAATGATATATGTTGGGCGAATGACCTTCAACTTTCATCTGGTGGATAAAGCTTTCAGCTTCTTCACATCGACCATTTGAAGCACAAATGGCTAAGACAGTCCCATACATCACACCATCCATCTGTATTCCGTTATGGGGCAGCTCTCCAACGAGTTCCATAGCTTTGGGGTATCCATTTTTTACCTTGATGCAACCTGCAAGCAGCTAAGACAATCAAAGAGAAAATCTATTATAGAAGCTAAACAAATCGAGATGTTGCATATCCTGTCCTGGTTCTTTCACCTGTACTTAATAATCACTAAATGCAGAAACTTTTCAGTACATCTCAATCAGCTAAAGGATCTAATTCTAAACCAAAGGTGAGAGGGAGAATCGTTTTAAGCTTCAAAGGAAGAAAATATGCTAACTATTCTGCCATTTACTGTCGTAGTAAAAACTTCAGCTGGCATACCGTGTTATACGTAACCACATCTGGTTTCAGACCATCGCGCTTCATCTGATCAAACAATTTAATGGAGCTGTCAAGCTTTCCATTCTTGACCAGACAACTAAGAATGGAGTTACATATATAGACATTGATTTTGGTTGACTCGTCTGGAATGCTCTGGTATATTTCTAGAGCCTTTGAGACATTTTTTGCCCCCACAAACTTTATGCAGCTGCTGTAAGTTGAAACACTAATCTTACCATGCTGTTGCATCCAATCAAAGAGCTACAAAAATTTGCAAACATAAAAACACATTGATTATGCACATCTTGGATTTCTTGCTTCTGCAGTAACCAATATAGTATCATATTTCTAATGAATCCATATTCAAATCAACAAAACCTGTATAAGATCCTGCAAACGTCCAGAGATTCCAAAATCACGCAAAATCACATTCAAGTCTTGTACCTTTAAAACTCTTGCTAATCTGCAGAGAGGATAATAATATAATGAGAATCTACATCAGCCAGATCCTGAACACTACGGCATGCTCATTTTATGAATCTATGGAAACAAGCAATTTGTATGCATCTCTACCTAGCTAGTAATTCTAACTGGAGGCACTACTACCTCTACTTCAGAACTGAGCATTTCTACAGATTTTGGTTGGTTCTGTATAGAATACAAAAAATAATCAACCACACAATTTCCAGTAAGACAGATTTTGACACATGAAAGTTTTCGAAATGTTGAAATAAATAGCAACAAACCCTCACAGAATTTGAAGCAAATTGAAATCTAACTAGAGGAACCATAAATTGAATTAAAGATAAGTAGAAACCTCTGGAGAGAAGAGAGCAAATCTGGGGACCGCTCTACTTCAGAGATGGCGGATTTTCTCGTCAAGTATGATTTCGAATGAGGCTTCGAACGAGATGCCTCAGCTACGGTCTCCGGTGATTCCACGACTGTAGATGATGTCGCCGCCGTCGCCGTCACCGCCGTGATGATTTTTAAGGAGGCGGAGGGAATGGAGAGGGGAGAAGAAGAAGAAGAAGAGGGACGAGAGTTAGTGTTGAAGAGATGAGGACAACGAAGCTCGAATCCCAAAACTGGCGTCTCCATTTTCCTATCAAGCGATTCAGTGAAGAGTATCTTATGTAGAGAGAAGAACATGTTTGGTTTAACAAATCTCCTCGGAGTAAACCGAATGAAAATAAAATTTAGGATCAAAAGTCGGTTTTTTTGGTTTGTGTTTTGAACCGGAAAATCTCACACTAGAAAGAGAAACAATGTTACTGGGTTTGGGTCCACGTGGACGCACGATTCGAGTTTAAAATGGGCTTTTAGCCGAAATAATCCAACGGGGCCTTACTGTTAAAAAAAAAAGGCCAACAATTAGAAAATAATTTTTTTTTTTTGGCTAGAATTTGTTGAAGACTGAAAATAAAAAGGAAGAAATGAGATTCTTTGCGACAAATTGTACGGCAGGAGACCGACAAATGAAACAGCACAGCCCCACTTCCCCTTTCTTCTTCTTCATACGTTTCGTGACACCCACTTCACCATTTTTTTCTCACTTGTTTAATCACATTTCCTAAACCTCTTAATCATATAACTTAATTAATTCTAATAATATTTTGTTGTTAATTCGTTCGTTATGTGGGGAGACTCAATACTGTTGCAACTTGTTTATTTGATCATCATTACTATTGCTAGCTAGATTGTAACTTATTATGTTAGAAAGGTATAATATATAGTTGGACGTCTTCTTTTTCGGTTTTAATATATATAGTTGGACTTTTTTTTTTTTTTTGAAAAAAAGGTAATATAGTTGGACTTTTTTTGTTACCAATTCATTGTTATCGGTTTTTTAGAAAGCGATTTTGCTACAATATATACAGTTTGATAACCAGAAAACTAGTTCTTATATCACATTAAATTATATTCCATGCTATATTGCTACGTAAAGTATTTGCAAATCACACAAATAAATTGGATTCGAATTATTTGTCCTACTTTTCTGACCATTTTTGCGTGAAGAACTTGCCTCACTTCTAAATTATAAATAGTAACGTTATACACGTATACCGTCATTTAGAATATTTATGATCATATCTTCTAATATAATATTACTCATTGGATTATCATGGTTTTTTTTGCATGATATCGTAAAATATGCATACAAGCAAAAAGGCAGTTGGATTGTGCAAATAGTTAAATTATCATGGATGAGATTAACGCATACATTGAAGTCAAAAGTAGAAAAACAAATATTTAAATTTCATAAATATATAATCAATAAGCATTATAGCAAAAGCAAGACAAAAATTATCAAAGCAATGTAAATGGGTCGTATCATGGTTTGTCTTCTTCTGTTGTGTAGTCACGATTCACGTAGTCGCAATCCCATTGAATCGAGATTTTTTACTATTATTTCACACATTCGTCCATATCTCTTTTATTTTTCAACGTCAACATCGTCCATATCTAAATTTAGTTATTTATTGAAAATGCTCAGTACAGAAATTATACTTGGTTGGTTTTTTCTATCCAGTGATATCTGAATCTGATCCTGGGCGGTGCAATGTCTTTTTCTCATTTTTTTTTTATCATACTTTTAAATGTGATTTAATTGGGTTTTTCTTAAACCTATCACAAAATAAAAGTTTATAGCTATTTTAAAATGATATTTAATTAAACCAACAAAATCTTTAAAAAAAACGAAAATATATAAACGAAAAAGTGAATTTGTGGGATAACAAAAAAAAATTATAATATAAAAGCTATCTAATTGGTTAGAGAGAGATAGAGAAAAATGAATAAAAAAAAATTGGTTAGTTTTTATTTTCAATCTTCTTTGGAGTAGTCAGCTTCATAAATACTCATTTGATATTTTTCTGAAAGGAATGATTTTGGTCTTTCGGTGAGATCATATTATATCAACGTATAAATTCGCACATGGAAATATGATCGAAATTTGTTGAAGTTATTTGTTGTCTGATGACTCTGATCACATTGGTTGAATTATTATATCGAGATATATAATTGTAAAACTATTCTAACCTTTTTAAAAAAGTGTTAGTTGACCTTTGACGAAAACAAAAGAATTGGTTGAACGATTTTTTGTTTTCAAAACTATACATTTGTAGCTGCACCATTCCTACATATTATATTATATATAGTGAATAACTCCACAAATCACATTTCTTCAACGAAACCACATGCATAATTATAAATATATTTTGAGAAAATGCCTTTATTTCGTGGGAATAAAGCTTTTATTCAAAAAGGTTATTTGGCAAAAAAAAATCTAAAACCCTAGATCTAAAGGATAGGAATTGGCTACATAAGATAGTTTTAGTTAAATTTTAAGATATTTTTTTTTTGTGGTTATTTGGTCCAATTTCTCTATTCAAAAATTAAATTACAAAAAAGTTTTATTCTACCAGAGCCTTGTGGTTAAATGGTTTGGCCTCACAACCTGTGGGAGTAGTCAGACAAAATTTACATTCTCACTTTTTAAGAGATGGAGTAAATTTTTTTTTTTTAAATACTTGGGCTAGTAAGAAAAAGTACGAAGAAAATATATCTTTCTTCGTGAAATTAATAGCATTTGTTTAGCCAAAAAAAAAATTAATACCATTTGTTTAGCAAAAATATTAATAGCATTCTAATTTTACATATTTTTTAGATAACATTAGCTAGAATTTTCTTCAATTACTTTGTGAAATACATTTTGTGGATAACATATAGCTAGAATTGTATGGATGATTAAACTCAGAATCAACAAACGATGGAATAAAATATGGGTGGATTGTGGATTTAACACTCCCGGGGGATTTGACAGTCCAGCAAGTTTATACAATCACATAGATTATCCGAACTAATTATTGATTTGGCAAGTTAGATGATTAGTTTGACCGTAATGTGATAACAAAAATCTGATTGATAAATCAAACATTTCTTGAATTCTAATAGAGATAACCTATTTTATTTGAAAGTATAAATTAAGTTAAATCTATTAGCTATAGACGAAAAATGAAACCCACGGTTTGGACTATACATT